TACAATAAAAAAAAACCAATTTCCCCTAAAAAGCGGAACAGGGGACTGAAGCTCGCTACCGTGTTCGAGAACAACTAAGTCCGGCGGCATGTCTACACGCTCTCTGTATGGAGCCAAGGCATGACACGCCTTTATTATGTGGGACTTATTATGGGGAGCAACCTTTCTCTGCATAAGGGACACCTGCGCGGGCTTTGACCCAAAAGCAGGTGCCCATGTGTCAACCGCGTATGGCCAATCCTCAGTCGATGATGAGATGATTATTATTTATGATTATTTATTTAATAAAAAAGAGCTCTAGTTTCTAGTTTGACTGTATTTGTTTTTTTTTAATAATTAATTTTTACCTAATTAATTATTCAATTAATTCATTCATTTAATTGTTGAAAAAAAAATATTTTTATTGATTTTATTTTTTAGGGTATTTAAATTGCAGACAATAGTAGAAAGTTAACGATATTTAGTTATTTTTAAAGGCGAATAATAGAAGAATAACATTCATTGTTCGTTTTGTTATCATGTACGTAAATGGCTATCGATTCGCAACAGCAGAGGTCATATAAACCCTCAGGGTGGCGGTGTTTTTGAAAAAAAAAGCCCATTTGTAAGTAGGTCGGGTTCGAATGCAGGGCCGCTGGATAAGATGATGGGACAGTCCAGCGGCGCTGCATTCGAACCCGGTACCTTTACCTTACAGTGATGTAGGAACTTGGAATAATCCGCAATAATCTTATCAATAAAAGTCTTCCATCAACAAACAAATCTCAACCTAGCCTTTGTTTAAAGCAGTGCTATTGCGAGAAATCGCTAATATCCAAAGCTGATAGATCTTAGCTTACGTCTCGTGATGTGATCATAGACCAAGAAAATGGGCAGGAGGAACTGAAAGTTGAATGACATAGGATGTTGGAAAACGGGCGAGTTGCCTCCTTGAATAATGAGTGATCGCAGGCCTTGAATAGTTCAGTCTCAGTTGTTTACCTATTCAAATGTATGGGGGATCGACCTTTGGATCTGTGGTTTACTAAGAATTTCACCCCTTAATTAATAATAATAAATTAATATAAAATCATTTTACTTTGTGGAATCGTGGATCTCGAATTATATCTAGCTGGTCGGTTAGTGAGGTATTTTGCTTTGTTTACTTCTTTTCCTTAGCAAATTTTGTTACTGGGGATACTGATACTGGAGATTAGTAATGTTCCTAGAATCAATATGAATTTACATATTAAAATCAGTCTAATAACCTGAGAAATAAAAAAGTGATTAGTTTTTAGATCTTGACTTTTTTTCAATTTTTTTATATCGCGGAAAATTTTAAAACAAATTAATTTAGCGTTGTTATTAAATAATTCCTTAATGTCAATTATAAAAAAGAGATTCATAAATAACAGTTTTATCCACTTGTATATGAATAAGAGTCCCTGGTTACATAAATGCTTCCAAGAACGATTAACAATGGAAACGAAAATAGGATTAGCTCAACATACCTAAAGCGCTAAAGTACTAAACATCCGTAAGTGAAAAATCGTGTAAACCTTTTTAACACCATTTCATCATTTTCTCTGAGAAACTAGTTAAATATGAAGCTATGAAAAACATTGTATAGTGGCTTTTGTTTGAGAAGCGTTAGGAATTGAATTTTACATAATTTTGTGATTGAATCATCATGAAACATTCGCTAGATATAGATGTATTCGCGGTGTGTAATATACTGTGTCCTTTAAGAGGTATTGTATCCCAATTTCTTTACTTATAGCATGCACGTGAATCCTAGTTCATCAAGGAATTTGATTAGTAGGCTCGCTTTCAGAGGCTGAACTTTTTCTATCTCTTATCTGCAAATGTGGCGCCAGTTTATGAGAAAGAGTGTTGGTGTCTCTTTCAAAAATTTTTGGAAGCTTCTTGGATTGTGTATCTCCCGTGAGTGAATTTCGTTGTTTTCTTATTTTCAATTTGTCCTTTGTTCACGATACTCTTTCATAGTGCGAAGGTTCTCTATGTCACAGAAGGGCTCAGACCTATCAGCGGTATGGCTTTCCTTGCAAAGGCGTCCGCTGTATCGTTGCCTTGTACTCTCACATATCCTCGGACCCAAAAATGGTGACTTTATTTTGCATAGCTAATCTATTTAGTTTTTGTTGGGGGTATTGAGTACAATTCTTCCTCCACTGCGACCTAAACAGAAAATTGTAGAAAATCTATTTAGTTTAGTTTTGCAATTCGGCACCATGCTTGAGCTAATTATGTTTGATGGCTACTTTATTGTTGTTGTACCCTTTGTTCAGGTTGAACTGGGTACAACTCTCATTTGCATGAACTTCAACCAGGAAGATATTCCCTTGGGGTCTGAGTATTTATTCCAGGGATACCCATGCCCCCATACCCTCTGTGTTCTAGTTCTAGCATCTAGATCCGTCAGTGAACAAGCAACAGCTGGTGTCGTTCTCAACAGAACGTTTTTCCCTCTTTGCCTTCTTTTTTTGGTACTTAAATTTTTATTTTTTAAATTTTGCTTGAACTCAAACATCCTGTTCATGTAGTCTTTTTTTGGTGCCATTAGTCTGGGATGTTCCTTATTACACTGCTACTATCTCTCCATTTCACTTTTAGCCCGGTTGGAGGTTAGGTAATAGTTTTCTGTGATGTCCTTACTATCATTTGGTGGAGGGGGTTTGTCCCAGTATTTTCTCCGTACCAGCTATGGGACATGTTAATATCGCTCCCGTCATGCAAACGCGTGTGAGTCTTATATTTTCGCGGGTTCTTTCTGTTTTGCCCAGCTATTGCGTCATATGTGACGATAGGTCTCACCATTATGGTGTACATCCAGAGCAGGGTTTCTTCCCGCTGTTCTTCTGCACAAAAATTTATATAAACTTTTTATTTTTAAGTTATTAGCATTTATATAGGATATGATTGAACGATTTGTATTGTTGTATTCCTATTAAATTGACTTGAAAATGATAAAGTCTCAGCGAGAGATAGTTAGCCGTCCTTGGCTGCCCAACGGAAACAAACGAACCCAATACTCCGGGTAAAAACAGGAATTAACTCTTAACGCCACAAAGACACCAAAAAGGAAAAAACCCCGCCTGCAGATCTGACAAAAAGGATAAAAGCGGAAAGTTCAGCGAAAAGGCGGACCGGGATGAACGGGTACGATCTGGGTACAGACGAATGTTCAACAAGGCTTTACTAATGTACTTCCTCGTTAAACCTTGAAGCGACAGTCAATTTCAATTAAGGAAAGTGACTTGAAGGAAAAATTTCCGTTTTTTGTGCAAATAAAGCTTCGTGTCCGTAACAATTCGAGGGTTGATGTAATATCAAATGGAAAATTTGAGGAAAACCACAATAAAAGCTTTAAAGTTTAATTGAAATATAACTTAACTTATTCGAACTTAACTCGATCGAAGGTGAAAAGGCTAAAATAGTGCCACGTTTAACATTTGTGTTTAAAGACCATTACAGAAATAGATAAACCGCTAGGATAAGCTGGTCGATCTGTAGCCTTATCGATAAACAAACGGTAACAATTACAAATCAAGCGAACCGACATCAAAAGTGCCTTAGAGCGAACTGGTGAGAAAATGGGCCTCCCTTATTCTGTCACGCCCTCCCGATAGGTTGCCCCTTTGTTTGTCTGAGTTGTTATCCTTCAACCCTTGTTTATTAAACAGATCCGTTACAAAAAGTGTGGTGAAACACTAGAGGCACGCTCTTTGTTCAGAAAGCGTTGTAAATAACCAGTGTCTCTTGGCTTTCGGAATCAGGATGAAAATCCTCAAATGTCGGTTAATTAAATCCAATTTGTACAGAATAACCACGATTTGTTAGAATTACATCTGTAATAAAATCATATAAAATATTTAATATGGCAATAGACAACGTTTTACTTACATGCCTGGTTGTTTATATTCTATTCATTATGTACAGAAACCTATAACAAATAAAGAAATCTTTGGAAATATTTAATACATTGAACATATTTTGACATTGTCTTAATTAATGGTTACGGATTAATTGGTTGATAGTCTTAAGAGAATTTACGACGTGCAGGCAGTCATATAGAATATATGTGAGTTTTCCTCTTTGGGTCTTCGGAGGACATGGATGAGTTTGGATAGGGAAAGATTCATAAAAATTCATCCGGATGGTCTGTTCTTTTAACTGAAGATGGCGAATACTTGATGACGCACCGAAAACGGTAGAAGTCAAACGCGTGATGACAGACCAAATAGCAGTTTAAATTGATCAGAAACGACCAATTTACGGACTTTTTTAGCCTTGGTCGAGTGAAAAAAATTAGTGATCATTTGGTGTAATTGAAGAACATCTGTACTACTGAAGATCCGAAATAAAATAATCGACTTCTGATGTTATTAAATTTCTTGATATAAAGGAAATCCAAACAAAGAGGAAGACAATAAAACTTGAAAGATAATCATTTTAAAATGAAAGCAGTAAGCAAGGAAGAGAGAGAAAAAGTTATGACCGGGACAATTTACATATATTCGACCAGTTCATACAAGACTGCTATTCTCGATCATGATTTTGTCAAAACACCCTCAATGGTGAATTTGGATCAGTTGCAAAAGACTCTCTGTTTCTCGCGCGTGGGCATGATTTTGTCAAAACACCCTCGATTGTGGGATTCGGCCAATTCGCACAAGACCCTGCTATCTCGAGCACGGGTATGTTTTTGTTAAAACACCCTCAAAGGTGGGAAGAGGGTTTGAAGGTTGTTTTGCCTGGGTATACCGTAACAGCGCAGAGGTTTATATTAGTTTTAGAAGGCTGTGCGCCACCCGCTGTCTATAATATGCGAATAAACGGATGTATTTTTCGGTTGTGAAATCGTCTGTGGTCTGGAGATAAAAGGTTCTGAACCCGCAACTGTCTCGGATCATTGAACAATCGCGGGACGAGAGTCTTTCATGGTGACTTTACAGAAATAAAAGTACAGAATTTGAACCGAATCGTATGTTTTTTTACAGCGCCTGGAACACGAGGTCGGATCAGCTTCCTCCGCAATGCCCCAACGATAGCAGGACAAGGTACATATTTTGCCATAAGCGGCTTCCTGTAAATTATGTAACGCTTTACAACCTAAAATCCGTTAGCGAGGCCATCCTTCTCCTTAGTTACGCTTCAGAGAGAAGATTTGTAAAGAAATCTGCAATGCAAACAATGTCACGTCCTGCTGTCCTACTAGTACGCATGTTTTACTACCCGTACCCTTGACCCCTATGCTTCAGAATGAAAGTATTTACCCCTTAGAAATTTTCATTTATAACAAATATTAAGAAAAATTATCTACATTGCTTATGAGTTATTAGTATCCATGTAGACAAATTATATAATTTTTTACATAGCTCTTTGACTTAAAAACTGGTGCTGTTAAAGTGTGAAATTGAGCAAAAGTAAAAATTAATTAGATCTTTCTTGAAGTATCTCGTTGGTCGTTTTGTACATCTTGGCATGTAATATTTTCTTTTTCCACCAGGCGAGCATGATGGCACTAACAAGCGGTATAGCTGACCATGTGGAAAATAACAAGCTGAAAGCTTATTCAAAATCACGCGACTGTAGAATTTTCATATTTATCATGTTAAAAAGCGTTGTTCATCAACTGGGCGATGCTCTGGCCGATACAATAAAAACACATAACTGGCGTCAATGGGAATATTTAGAGGTATTCACAGTGTTTGTAAGTTAACTCGAATAGAGAAATGCCCAGTAAGATCGTGAACGCCCCCTGCTTTTCTACTCATGTTAAACGTTAATTTTTCCGCATTGCTGCGCGTGGCGATTGATAGGACCAAAAATAAAGCTATAACAGTCCTTTGCGGCTTGATGTTGTTTGTTTTGGTTTTTTTTTGTTAAATTGAAAGATACCAGAAAGAATGAATAAAAAAGGAAAATTAATCAACTCTTTCATTCAAAATGCTATCTATGCACTCAAAAAGAATTAACAAATGACATGCTTCATTTCATGCCGACATACCTAACCTGTATCCTAACGTCTTACAGCCTACAACTTTATAGAATAGGGGATGTATCTATTATGAATGAGAGTATAAGGACAGGTCAGAAATTAACAAAAGAAATGTATTGGTTTGATTTAATTAATGCGTATTTAAGAATAAAAATACATTTAAAGAAAAAACAGCTGTTAAATTCATGGCTGCCATGTTGGTTACCTACACCCTAACGGATAGCAGTGTGACAACATTTTCAACCTAAGATCTAACAATTAATTAATCTTTATGTAAGGTATTGGTTGAGATAAAAAAAGTCAGTGTCACGAGCGGGATTCGTACCTACGACGTTCGGCTAAATACGCCTTTGTTTTTCTGTTATTTGGTCAATCGGACTACGAAATCTAATGAATCTAACATCTAACTTGGCCCTGGCCTGTTAAATCGATGGACTAGCCGATTCTTACAAGTCTACTTCATCATTTTTCTCGATCTAACAGGACTTAACAGAGTTAACAGGGTTAACACAAAGATCGTGAATACCCCTAATATCTATAGTTTAGAGAAAAAAATCGAATTTTAATAAAATGATACTACCTCGGAAGGCATAAGGTTTGGTTAAATTTCCTTTTCGTATACCACTTGATCCAATGATTTCTAAGTTCAGGAAAATCAGGTTGTGTACGTATTTCTGGATAAGTCAGATCTAAAACAGAAACAGCAAATCTGTTCACTTGTTATTTCACCTTATCCAGTTGATGCTCCCACGACGCCATGGGTAGCGGGTAGCTTCCTGCATGACGCAGCCGATCAGAAATAGGTAGAGTTCGTCATCTGTTAACTATTCTATTTGTGCGTTAAAGCATCGACCTGTCCGATCGCGAGTCAGGTGTGGTAATGATATTTGATTAATATTTTCAATTAGTTACTAACTTGTAATTAGTACTGCTCTGTATTGTATTTAATCTTTATAAATAGCACTATCTATATAAACCTAAGTACTAACAAATTTATTAAAGGATGCTTATGCATGTCAGCCTCCTCAGAGCTTCCGTTATAACATTTGCATGGGGCACTCTCAACACGACAGGCCAGAATGACACGTCTACACGGAAAACAAACACTTTGGGCCCTGAAGATGATCTCAATAAAGATCGAAACGTCGCTCGATAACGAAAATGTTTTTCTAAAACCTACGTCACACCAGACCCCATCTCACAATCTCCGAATAATCTTTTGCATTTTTGTTTAATTTCAAACTAATTAGGTTAAATATTTAGATTTTTTTCAATTGTTTTCCTTTCGCTTCCTCGTCCTGTTTTTGTATGTCTATCGAAGCCATTTGTTTTATCAGTATTTTGTTTCAATTTAATTGGCATAGTTTTCACTTTATCGTACGCACTTCAGAAAAAAGATTGTGATGAGCTTCTAATGGTATCGGAATCTTTTATTACATAACAAAATGTAATACTGGGTTGCGGGCCAGACTTCTAGGTGAGGATGATGATTCACGGGAGCAATGGTCACGCCAACTGGAAGGAACTCCTCGAACCCAATATCGCTACTCCTGCCCGGCTATTTAACGGACCGTTATGGCCCTCAGGAAAGCGCGTAGCGAGGTAAGATAGGCCATAAGGTGGCAGGTACCAATGGGTATTCTTTTGGGTACTGCCACCATACTACCAAACAATTGGCTCAAACGGATTTATGAAGTCTACTGTGCCAACACCCTCTGCGTCGAAGACGCTGCATAGCATTACCTGGTAATCGGAGGCAATATAATGCAAATATGCCATCTGGCGTTTATGGCTAAGCGGACTCCGGCAAAAACGATTTCAAGAAAAAGGAATCGAACTCAACAAAACCTATACCTCAATAATAGAATACAATTTCAGCCATTTTATTACAGCTCTATAAAAGTAAGAATCAGATTTTTCTTTCGCACTCTACTGTCGTTTTTCCTTATAATTTACCTGCTACAATTAACGATTACGTATTAAAACTGTAAATTTGCATGGTTCGGTTCATTTTAAGTAAATTTGATTCCATTCCTCTAACATTTGCACTCTAGTTCTTATTATGGTACCGCGTTTATCCCAACTTAATAATAAATCCTTGATAGTATGTAATTCAAGTTTAGTAGAGTGCGGAGTAAGATGTGCTTCTTCTCAAACAAAGAAAAAGGGAAATGAAACAAAAAGAGAACAAGGCTATCCTGCTAAGAGAGTTTTATTAATCATATTTTAATACTATTTACACTGAATGTATTAAAATCCCCTACCATCAATCTTTTGTTAATCATCCCAATCACCAAATAAACAGAAATAATAATATTTTATTATGGCTCTTGTTGAAAATATCATCTTTCTAATTCTGGGACAGGTCCGACCTATGTATATATTATCTGGCTGGTACAGCCTTTTCCGTACATCACCTCCCACGATGGCACTGGGGGGAGCCAACCGCGAACGTGTCGCCTCTGATGTTACAACATACTGTCACATTAGATTGAAGGAATAATTTCTGTAATAAAGAATGGCTTTATTAGGAAGCGAGAAATTAACTTTGAATATTTGCAAATATTTTTATTGGGTGAAATTGCGCCAAAGTTGGAAGAAAATGATGAAGCAGACGGGCTAGCAAAGAAAGTATCAAGGAATGAAGAACTTTCCAATCTTTCCACAAAATTTCAAGAAGTTGCGTGACGAACCAACTAATTGATAAGGCCATTAGTCGTCGGGATCATATTTCGCAGAAAACAAGGAAAACATCGCAAACTAAAAAGTTCCATCTTTTCACGAACAAAGAAAATAGGACACGGTTGGGCTCAAATTTAATATTTAATAACGATCCTGTTTGTGGACGGATAGGGACTACCTTTCTTTCATCGATTCCATTCACAGGGATGCACATGTGATACATGAAAGCGCAGGTACATGTCACACATGTTATATGATTGCCCTTGTTGGAGCCCTACAGGGGGGGGGGGCACTTATGCAACTCATAAGGATGGTGGCAAGCACTGGAGAATGATGACCAATTATTAAACGGGACTTCTTGAAAGACAATGTGAGAGAAAGTTTTTTGAAATTTGTATAAGATTGTTCTTTCTATTAGTTTTCTCTTATTGCTAGTCTTTTCTATAAGTTCTATTTTTGTATTAAAGAAAAGAAAGATGTGTGAATTCAGTCACCTTAATCTATATTTAATTTATCAAAAGAAGGTTGTTTGTCTTTGCCTCGTAGCGCGTCTGTTTTAAATTGTTGAATTATTCTTTTGTCTCTACAGTATTTGAAAAAACAACTGCATCTGTAAAAGTTCACCGTTGGAATGTAAAACGTAATTTCATTTCAAATTTGTCTAGTCTGACATCCCACGGTTGAATAGAAAAAGTAATTTTTCGTTTTTATGCGCATATTATTTATCTGTGATTTATTTTACAAACATAAACTTTTGTTTATGTACATATTGTACATACACCTTGATATTTATTCGCTTTCTTTCCGCGCATAAAAGTGGCAAAAGATTTTGTCAACACAAGGATCTGTTGTCACCCGGAAACCGCTGGATCGATCTATTTACGTCTGCACGACTTTACGGCGTCATTACCGTAATTGCCAACGGTATCGGAATAACGTCGGCAGTAAACAACGACAGCTGATGTTTTGCAAAGCTGTTGTTCAACATACTTTTTTGAATCAGAATTCTGAGCAGAAATCAATTATGGTTATCTTTCCTGAAACGACAGCGTAGAGATTGTACTGTTCCGTGAACCCCCATAACAACATGTTATGTTTTTAATGCTCTAAACGATGTAAACACTTGGCACAATTTATGCTCCAAAACATCGGTTTAAGTATGTGTATTGTTTCGGTAATAATACGAGAACCTTCAGAATTGATATTTTCTTTCGGAGAGAAACAGTAACCTTCTCCATAGCTCCTGAAAAAAATCTAATAATTATCTGATACATATTTAATAATTCAGGTTAATCACAGAAAAATTTATATTTAGATGGAACTTCAATAAACCACGTCGTTAATTAAGTTGTAATATAATATTATGTGCATAGCAATTAGTAGTTGTTGTTTTAAAGGTGCTTATTCGAACAAATAACGTGCTTTATTTACATAAATATATCACTGTAAGAATATTTTATTATGTCCTCAAATTCACTGAGTGTTGAAGAGAAACTTATTATAAAAGGTAAGGTTGTCATTCAACCTGCCAGTCCACAGTTTTAATAATAAAGTTTAGCAATAAAGTAGTAAATTTATTGAACTGTTCTATAAAATTATATTTACAATATACAACATATCCCAGTAACGGTATCGTGATGGCACGAGAGATTGTTGTGGAAGCTAAAGGGCAATACTATACTACCTTATCTTCAAATCCTTCCTAACAAACCGATACTTACAAGAAACCCAAGGTTCCTCTTCTATTTTTACAATTTCAGTCGGCGTCCCCCAGGGAAGCACACTTGCTGCCTTACTTTACTCCCTTTACATTTCGAAACCTTAACCTTCACATACGCTGATGACACGGCAATCCTCTCCTCAAAACATCGATCCTGTTGCTTCTATCCGCAACCTCCAATCCCATCTTCGTATGCGGCGGGAACTCTGGCTTCGAGAATCAAGGGAAACAATCAAAAATCTAAATACATATTTTTCACTCGTAGTCATAAAACTCTCCCACTTGTCCATTTATACGATAACCCATATTCCTCCAGCGAATAGTATGTATTTACTTGGACAAAAGACTTACGTGAGATCCACACACCCGACTAAAACGAATTAACTGCTACTTTAGATTTAAAATGCTGAAGAGACTACTTGACAAAAGATCTAAACAGACACTACTTAACAAAAAAAACTATTATGCACTACCCGCCCCAATTTGGACCTACGGACTTGAACTATACGGAACAGCCACGTGTTCCTATTCCTACCTTAACAAAATTCAATCCCTACAATCCAAAATCCGTCGTACCAATACACATATTACACTCCGATCTCAAAATAACCTACGTCCCAAACCTAGCCCAGTCCCGCTACAATAAATCACTCCAAACTATCCTCTCATGACAACCCGTTAATTCGCAACCTCTCCAGCACTACCCTTAATTCCAACCATCATAGAAGATTGAAGCGCATGTGGCCTCGCGACCGTCTGATTTTGTAACGTCAGCAACTCTAGGGACTGCTGTTGACTTCACGCCATGATGGCCAATTACGTCCACTTTCACTGGATAGGGTTCGCATTTAAAATTTCAAAGTTGCTCTGGCTCGGAAGTATCCTGACAACAAATATTTTAAAAAAGCAAAAAAAAATTGAAAACTTGACTAAAAAAATATAATATACATATTTCTTGGGTTTTCGTTAACGTTATCTATTCAAGAGAAATTCATCTTACGAAGACACCCTTTATATTATACATTAAATAAATTATTATCAATATTAAAAAAAAAAAATACATTCCAACGTTTCCATAATATCGACCTCCAGTCTCCCATCTTACTTTTAACTTTTTTTCTGTTTATTTCTAATTCAATTTATTTACTCTGTATGCTTTTTAACAGGGCAAACTCTATTATAGAGGTTTAGATATTACGTTTGCACATTTTTTTAAGGAGTCAATATGTCAAAATGAACTCAAAGTTTACCGATCGAAATGAGATCATTAAAAGAAAGAGCGACTCGAGCTCAAAACGATTGTAAAATATTTGCCCAATTATTCATTTATAGTCAACAAAACACGCATTCATGTTTCATTATCTTTCGCTTTATTGTTGATAAAATTGTACCTATTCCTGTAACGCTTTTTCTCGATACACCAGTCGATTAGTTTGACAAAAAGCATGAGTAGGTAATTAGGCTTAAATACCCCTAAGATAACCTCCTGAAGAACAATTTACGTTATATTTAGTGATATGAAAAATAATTATTATTAATATAATATAAACAAATAAGATCTTTGTAATAGATAGCCTCACTCCTAAGTTTCTTGGCTTTCGTCCTCGTGGCTACTCGCCTCATTTTCGTAATTGATCTTCCAGTGGGAGAACAAAAGATCGAGGCTGATCTCAAAAAAAAATCTTGTTGCATTGTTCTCGCTTAACGAGACAGACTCGTTTCGATGAAGAATCGTTGCACTCTTGAGGAAGGCGTGTTTTAATATTTATGCCATTCTCAATGCTAACAATCGCTCGGAATGTGTATTGCGGTTGAAAAGATGATGGTGATAAATGATCTATTTTGGTTCAGCTCACTGACCGACTATAATGGTATATCATAACTCAACAATTGATTTGTTCTTTCCTTTATAAAATACACAACTATAAAAAAATAACCTCAATGCGAAGCTCGAAATTACACCTTTAAACACCTTGTGTTTATTTTTTAAATTGCAGGGTTTATGTATTGCTGTATACAGTTATATTGTTAGGATCATGGCCGTATAACATGCACGGAGCATTAAAATGTCGCTGAATTTTTCAACGCATTTTCTGGTTGATTCTCGTTTGCAAAATTGGGTAATAAGCGTTTACATATACAATTTTTATGCGTAGAAATTAACCTTTTTTGTGTATAATCAAATTTCTCCTTGTAAAGTATTGAAAATTATAACTCAGTTAGTTCCATCGAACGATTCCAAAAGCGCTGAGGGGTAAAATTGCATTGGTTAATATGGAATTTTCGATTTTATTTGTATTTAACAATAAAAATATATACCTTTAATAAATCGTTTCGTTGAATTATGCTAAGGTTTCTATTAAATATTTATTATGAATAATGGTTTATTAGCACTAGCAATTAAGTATAAGATGTATAATTGTATTTTTGGTTATTATTATTGTATTTTGTGTAAGGAGCTAATAAACCATTATTAATAATAAATATTTAATACCTTCGGAAAGCTGAATCTGAAAATTTTAAAGGCCTTTTTTATAGTTTAGTTATCTACGATCATCGTGGTTCTTTCGCCAGTTGAGTGTATCACGCATTAATGTTTATGTTTTTGGAAGAATAGATATTTCAGCCGTGCAGTTAATTTGGCAAATTTCTTCGGAATGTGTAATTCCTCTACGAACTCTCACAAATTAAAGGCTTGATTGGGTGATTAATAAAAGATCAATAGGTTATATTTTTGTTTTGGGAGTGTATTTTGGCTAGGGTATTTACATAGTGTTTTTATCCTTGTAGTTTATCCTAGTAGGCGAAGGTGTATCCGTGTTGCTCGACAGGTTCGACCGAATGAACAACGGTGTATCCGTGGTTGACGGTGTAAGGGGCGGCAAGGTAGCTGTGGTAGCCGGGGTACAGGTAGCCGGGGGCGGCGAGGACGACAGCCAAAACGGCCAAAAGTACAAATACCTGCAAACAGACACGGTCAAATCTATGCCGTAGGTAGGTAAAATAATAAAAACTCACGGTTCTGAACATTTTGATGTGGTGTGGTTATGCCTCGAGGTTCGACTGCACAATGTCCTCGTTCTTGCGGCGAAGGGCTTTTATACCGAGCGGCCAGGGTGTGGTCGGCCTTGTCTTGATCTTGTAAAGGTCGACTTCCACCCAACTGTTTGTTGTTTTATGTCCTTTTTCCGGGTATTTTTTTTAATCGGTTGTTAGCCCACCAGGACACACTAGCCAAAAGTTGTGCGGGACATAAACAATTAGTTTCTTTGTGCCAACTTAAGTAATTAAGATGGTTGAGTTTTTTAAGTAATCAATTCAAAATCTAGAGGAAGTCGGCGGTGAAGGTCGGGCGTATACAATTTACGAACAACCGGCAATGGGTATGAAATGAGTAGAAGCGAACAATAATTTCTTACGTCATAGACTCTGCCGATTACCGTGGTCCTAAGGGCTTTAACAGAACGCATCGTGGTGGAAACAAACTTCTTTCCATTATAACAGTACTTTTTAAAGTGTAGAAAACTTGAAAAACTAAATATGTGGGATTTTTAACGTAGCAAGTACAAAATGGAAAATGAAAATACATAACACTTTTCCCTACCATTTACTCAAGTATCTTAAGTTCGGAAAAACTACATTTTTAGAGCGACGATCGACATGGTCTATCATTTGCAAAACTTGTGAAGCTAATTCGTGATTGCTCATAAGAGCCAAAATGTCATAACGAGGAACTGGTAAAGTTAAGAAATGATGTAGCGTTGAAACGTACCTCAGTGGAGTAAAGGTGGAGAAAGAGGATCGCCATCTGGAAAAGCGATTTGGCGAAAGCGAGACATTGTGCTAGATACGAGGTAGAACTTATCTTTCAGAAATGAAGCGGAATTAGCTCACTTACTCGAACCAAAAAGAATTGGAAAATGTACGAGACGTGAGCATTATCTACACTGAGAGGCAAAAATACTGACCACCCTTAATATTTTAAATGATCTCTTACACAATCTTTCATTGATTATCTTACAACAATATTTGGTCTGTTTTAAATTATTAGAGATAAATAAAACACAGATAAAATCGCACTTGTGTTTTCAATTGGATTTTGTAAATAAATCTTTGAATAGTCAATCTCTTCTAAGTTTTTTCTAAGGTCTCTAGGTTTTTCTAAAAGGGGGTGAAAGGGGTTTGTAGGCTTTTAAGTTTAAAATTTATTTGAGTGGTGGTTTTGAGTGATACAGATTCGCCTAGAATTGTTGGAATATGGAAGAATTAAAGCGTATTACGTTAAAGGTAAACCAGGGTGTTTAACATTCCCAGAACCGTCCGAAGGGTCTTCCATAGCTACGAAGATATTGGACGACCAAGAAGAACCTTATACAAAAAGGAATTGAGCCGATCGTCATCGTTTCACATCTCCGAGATATTATCGTTTGATTGTTGCGAATGTGCTCCGTAATCGACATTCTACCTCTGTTGAGATAAAGCAGAGACATCGACAAGTTAGAAATGTTAACGTCAGTTTACGCACTGTAAGGCGAAGACTTTCAGAAGCTGGAATACGTACAAGGGTTGCCACAAGTCGAGAACGTCTGACAAGGCACAGAATAGCTTGGTTAAGTTTCGCAAGAAATCATATCAGTTGGTCTGAGCAAGACTGAACTAATCTAGTTTTCGGATGAGTCAAGATTTTGTTTGAGGTCTTCTGACGGCTGAGATGTGGTTTGGAGAAGACCAGGAGAGGAGTTACGGTTTGCACAGGCATGGAACGTCGAGGGTTCCCTAACAGCTGCGCGATATGTTGATAATGTGTTATCAGAAGAAGTTGTTCCTTATGCCTTTTATGACACTAATTGGCGACTTAAACCGTATCGATCACCTTTGGGACGAGTTGAAGAGACGGTAAAAGTCGCACAGTGATATCAGAATTTGCAGGAATTAAGTATGCCGGTGTTAGATGGGTATGAAAATATTCCTCAGCACTATTCAGAACCTCATAATAAAATCGATGCTACGTACGAAAATACAATATTTTCAAAGTTATAAACATTTTTTTATACTATTTGATAGTTACCTTCCTGGTCTTCCTATCCTGGCTCGTTGTTGTTCAGAGCGTTTCGGCATTTCGTCATCTTCAGTGTTTGGGTGATAGTTGGGAAGTGAAGTTTTAGTTATGCGGTGTTAGCAATATTTGTCGGTGTGTTTAATGTATTAAGTCGAGGCCCTCATGCTTGTTTTTCGTTTGTCTTTTTGATCTTTGGTCCTTCTCCTATTGATGGTTCTGTTATTTTCTATAAAGTGAGCTGCGTAATTTTTTGATTTTCCGTCGTCCCCAAACGATCTGATATGATCTTTGCACTTTCCTTTTAATTTTCGTCCTGCCTGACCACTGTATTTGTCTCCGCATTTGCATGTTAGTGTGTATATTCTGTTTTGTGCTAGTTGGTCTGTCTCCTCGATGCTTTGTCTTAGTAATTTTCCTATTGTGTTTGTGGTTTATACTGCTGTTTTTATGCCTAATTTGTTGAATAAGTTAGTTTGTATGTTTCCTTCCCAATGTATGCGAATTTGGTCCATTTATTGTCTGTTTTTGAGGTGTTTTGTATGCCGTCTTTGTTTATTATTTTGTTGTTATTAATAATAGGTATTGTGTGCTAATCGTTTGGATTACAGTATTGCAGTATAAAACATACAATATTGTTAAAGATATAAACATTTCATTATATTAATCCATATGTATTTTAATTGGTCCCAAGTAACCAAATATAGTTCATCATTTACTGGTGGTAACATTCAATAAGAGGATAAATTAATAATACACAAATAAGCCTTATTATGAACAGTTTGATAAATTACTACAATAAATTGCCGACTCGAAAGAAATGGAAAAATGCAAGGCGATTAAGGCATTTTAAACCTGCAAGGTTAACAGTTTAAAAACGATGATGGTTTTCATCGCATAGCTACTCTGTGCTTATTTCTTCATTTTCCGATCAAAGTGGTTTGAATTTTTTGTTTCATTTTCCGCTTAAGAATATAAGTAAATTGTTTTGTCTTCAGCCTAATTTAATATTCCGATTGCGGGCGGTTCAATTTTGTCCTTGCACTTGAGAAAATTGCCCTTGCCCATGTTTCGACGACGCTGCCTCCGATATCCGGTTGTTCATATTTTATAAAGGTCACGGGCAGACCGCAAGGAAGTTCTGTCAATATCGAACCCCTACGATTTTCCGTACAGTTTTCCATTATAATTTAGTAAAATTAGAATTTTTGAGACAGCCCAATCGGCATTTATGTTACTGTAAATGTAAAGGTTATGTCATAACAGTCATTCCAATGGACAATATGCTAAAAAATTTGCCAGGTAAGGCATTTGTATTATTAACCTACGTCTTTGATAGTTTGTTGGTTTGTGGACCCTTTCCAACAATGGAAAACTTCAAAAAATCATAATGTTACACAAACCGGGCAAAAACCCTAAGACCGTCTGAGCTTCACTAATTGGTTTGTTGTGTTCATTGAACAAGATTTTTGAGAAAATTGTTCACTGCAGGTTACACTCCTTTATCCACAAAAAGAACCACCTTTTGGATCACTCGGCATAAGCTAAACCTAGAAGGTTTATTAGACCTTGTTACCTAACTTAGCCTAAACCGTTGACTTTAACCTAAAAAAATCATACTGGGACGGTTTTACTGGACATAAAGAAGGCCTTTGATTGTGTTCGGCATAATGGGTTTGTTTATCAATAATCCATGACAACTTACCTATGTATTTAATAAAACTAGTCAGTTCTTTTTAAATGACGGACGCTTTGGAATCCACATGGGGAAGCCATTTCTGAAGAATTTAAGATAGCAGGTGGTGTTCCTCAACGTTCAGTGCTGGAACCAACATTATTTCTTGCTTGTGTGATTTGCCAAAGTTCCAGCATGCCCAATTGCCCTATTTACAAGACACTACCCTCTTTTCGACCCCATGGCGCACCTACACTATCACAAAGGGACTTGACGATTTTTTTATTGGAAAGCTTCGTTAAGGAATTCCTATTCTTTTTCATTAGTAGACTACCTACACTCGGTGATGACATGCTGATAAATGGCAATCTGCTCCGAGCTCCTTCTCGGTTAAATATTTGGGCCTATGACGGCTTGACCGCAAACTAAATTTTACGGCACACGTTAATATTTTAGTAGCAAAGAGTAAAAAAAAAATCTGTCAATCTCTTATTTCCACTACTCTGTAGGGAGTCGAGTTTGAATCTGGATAATGAGCTGCTTATATAAAAATTAGTGGTAAGAACAGTCTTACTTATCCCTGTGCTCCCAGTCAACGTTGGAAAGTAACTAAAAGAAAGTTGCTTAGAATAAATTCCTTAGGTCCTCGTTCCACTAGGATTGGGCTTTTGCATGAGATGTGCAGGTTGGACACAATCCAAAGTTTTATTGAAAAATGCACCATAAAATCTAAGAGGCTTTTAAGAAGAATAGCTCTAGCAGTCGATTGCTGGTATTGGAAGCCTTGTTCCTCCAAAGAGAAGACATAAATCCCTATGGTGGGTGCTCTTTCGTATCAACTTAAGTTAGTACCAATCATTATTAAGATGTAGACTGATAGTCCAGTTTACCCTGTAAGTTTATATTGGACTTCCTTCCCAGTTTTTTTTAAATATATTTTTTATACCCTCATTGAATAGTTTGTTTTGCAGTTATTTATTATTTTATTTACCTGTTTATGTGAGTACAGTTTATTTATTCAAACTATAATCCCAAAAATATTATAATATTGTGCAAATATTGTTATGTAGTTATGTAAGCTAAAATAAATATAACAATATGTTCAAGTCAACTTAGTAGTAAAAATTTATTTTCGATTAACTTATTTGTTTAGAAATCGTGAGATGCGGTCTGGTGTGATGTAGGTTTCAGAAAAACATTTTCTTTATCGTGCCAACGTTTCGAACTTTATTGAGATCATCTTCAGGGCCTGGGATTTACAAACATTGTTTTCATATAACAATTACATTTTGGATGTGGAAAAGTGAATTTATACAATGCAAAATATATTTTTTATATATTCAATCAAAGTATTTCTAATTCTATTAACATTGAAATTCACTCACTTACTATATTATTAATTTTTCTCTGCCTTTGCGGGTAAAGGTGCCACAAAACAAAATTTAAAAATTCTATCAGTTTAATAGGAAAAGCACGTAAACTAAACAGTAGGAACAAAGTTAATCTTCAATTTCTAGTTGTAAATCTATTTATCTAAGTCTCATCTTCAAAAACAGAAAAAACCAACCAATCGGAAATTTATGATTTACGTTAATGATTGTTTATTGGAATGCTTAGTGAAGTATCATTTATAATTGTATCAAAACAATGAGACGTCGGTTGAACACATAATGATTTAATTGCGCGAGGCTATTTATTAAAAAATCAATAAAAATGCAATCTCTCTCGTGAGTATTGTTTATCTTCTGTTTAAGTTTTATTATTATCTGTTTATGAGTTTAATATCTAACTTATATTTATTTATAGTTTGTTGGACGCATGTTGAACTGATCGACACTTATCACTTTAATGGGTCTGTCTAGTCTCGCTTAAGTTTAATACAATTGCATTTCGGCTTCACTCATCTTCAGTGAATAACTCGGTTTGATGGACAGTATTCAACATTCTTTTAATTGTGCCAACTGTTTCAAAAGACGTAAAACTTTTATAAACAATAAATTAAATTTTAGGTTAACTAATACTAGTTCACTAAGTCAGAAAATAAGTCCTTTTAGTAGCACCTGATGGAGCTTATATTTAGATTTATAAATATGGTCGGGTCGAACAAGTAGACTGGAAGAAAAACGGAAAATATTCTTAATTCGTTAACTTCATTTAGTTTTAAACCCAATATCTTTGCAAATCCATTCCCAATGTGTAGTATGTAAATTAGTCACAACACGAT